TTATATATTTATATTTATTTTTTTGGTTTCTAATTTAATTAAATAACTTATTTAATATGAGAAAAATGTAAAGTACTATTTTGTCCTTTTTAATTTGATTAAAATTGATCAATTTTTTCATTTTTTAGTCAACTAACGGAAAAGTGGACGGTTTCCATCCAAATGGATTCAAGTTGCATATTTATGAAAGTTCAGGGATTTTCACTGGCACAAAATGAAGGTTGGGATAAAGTGTGCAAAAATCAAGAAGGTTAGGATTGCTACTGCAATTTTTCCTTATTTTTACGCAACAATGTTTCTATAGACCCTCATGAGCATCTCTTTGACTAACCGTTGGCGCACTTTAAATATGCCTAATATTACATTGTTTGATTCTTATTTTTTTAAAAATATATTTTTCTCCCTCTTCTTTTAACCATATATTTTTCAATAAAATAATATTACGCACAATCCAAAAAAATTTCCTTCATTTTTAACCACACATTCTCCATCAATTTATTATTTTAAAATGCATTTTACATAAAAAAAAAAAAAAAAAATGAGACTCAATCATGCCTTCATTCTCCTACATCAAACAAAGGCGATACATGAGGTGCCTTTCAAAATGGAGTTTCACTTGTATGAATTTTTCCTTCCCCCCCACACTAAAATAGTTATAGTTTGATTGCAAATATAAGAATCCAGGTTTTCCAACAATGGCATGCATTTTTTTCAATCCAATTTATGTAACCAACCTATTTGCCAAAACCATATTCCTTCGATTGGATGGAATGAATTTTACCAAAACCATTTGACAGTTTTATTAATTTTGATCAGATTATCCATAACGATTGATTTTTTTTTTATTTATTTTTTTTCAAATCGATATCAAGCCCTCGCCTAACTCAGTTGAGTGGAGGGGACTTTTCTGACTTGTCTTCACGTTCTTCATTTATCATTTCTAACCCATCTTTAAAAGATTGAATAATTATAAGATGACAAAAATTATGATTCAGTTGACTGTTAGGTTTTTAAACCACTTCTCTATAGAAATATAATAAGCGTTTAAAACTTACAGTTTGATTTATTTCTTAATGCAATAATTGGATGTGCTGAACTGAAGAAGAAATAATTTCCAGCACATTATTTCTTTTTTCTTTTTAAATTTAAATAATTTTTAATCATAATTTTTAAGACATATATCTATATATTGTAACAAAATATTTCACTAAGAAAAAGTTATTGTGATCTTAGCAATGGAGCACATAATGTACCTCGACAACTTTTTTTTTTCGTTTTAATTNNNACAACTTTTTTTTTTCGTTTTAATTATATTCAAAAATATATTTGATACAAAATATTAAATTCGAATAAATATAATTTTTAACTTCATGAAACGCGTCACTGAATACGAAGTTGTTGTGACTTGACAAATGGACACTAAAAAAAATTCAGCAGGTTTGGAGGACAATTTAATTTGTCATTTACACCCATATCAAAATTGTTAGATGAACATTTTTGGAAAATGTCCATTCACTTAATAATGTATCATGTGATTCATGTCCAAAAATTTTCGCGGCTATGTACTGAGGCATCTGCTAATTAACACCTGTTGAGGTGATTAAGAAACCATCCCACATTTAATTTAGACAAAACAATTGGCAAGAATCTAAATGTCTTGTCACACTTGGAAACGCACCATTATTTTCAAACTCAATAATTGGATGTTTGAAGAAGAAGAACATTGCCAGCACATTATTTCTTATGTAGTGGGACATCTCTCCCCGTGGTTTTTCTTTAATTTTTGGAGTTTTTCATGTAATTTTTTGTTTAATTTTTCTCTATATATTTCACATTTTTCCGTCTCATTAATATTATTTATGAACGGTGATATTGTGAGCAAGTAAAAGAATCAGTCTCAATTCTAAATATTATAGTCCACCTGATGGGCCGTGATGCCATTTAAATGTGTTTAGTCCATTGGGCTATGATAAAATTGGGCTAAGCCCACCTGCCAAATTTAATTGACCATTGCTCGAAAACTCAAAATGGACCTTGCCCAAACTCAATCCAACTGTGGATGACACGTGTGCTGCTCTGTGTGTCTTCTCACTTTCTCTTCATCATTTACTACGTGTAGTGTAACGACCTGATTTCTATCAATTAAATTTGAATCGTTATCAAAATTGTCATTTAGAAATTTAAAGTGACGTGCAATAGTATATATTGTGTACGTTTGCAGTAATCAATAGAAACATCAACTTTTTAAATATATTATCTCTCCCTTTTGTCATGCCTCAAGATTCAAGATTCTTCAATTTTAAATATCATTATAGTACATCACATGTATTATACCAGCATGGGAACTGTTCATGCATTTAAAATTTTGGTACAAGAATTTCTACAGTACACACATGCATTAAAATTGTGTACCCCATTTTACTGTTGAAACATATAAATTGGGCGAAAATAAGGGCGTCAAATAGAAAATTACAACGTAAACACAAATATACTCAAAACTAGTTAAGATTTATCAAGTCATCATACGAAATTACATAACCAAATAAAATTTGTCCCATATTTCAAAATAAATTGAACGTATCCAATAAAATTAAAACAACTAAAGATTCATGCTAAAATTTGGAATTTAAGGCATGTTACACTAATTTATTTTATCATGTCCCATAAATCTTGATACTCCGACTGCACCTCATCGTACGTCAACCAACGACCCACACTAACCTGTGAGGAGTAGGGAAAATGGTGAGTAAATGGGAATGCTCAGTATGACTTAAAATATGGTGCAATCCCGAATAAAAATTTTAGAACAAGTGTCAGAAAAATTATACCGTCATCATATCTTTAGAAACCGTTACGAACTCATATCATATCTTTTGTATCGGAATGGCCAAATCATCATATCATATCATATCTTTAACTTTCATAAGTATCATCAACATTAACAAAAAATATTTAAATGGGATAAATACATTGCATCTCTTTTCCTACCTTATTAAATAAATCATTGAAAGATGAAAATCCCAAAATCACATTTTTCTTCCTCCGCTTGTGCACCGTGCAATAATATTTTATTGTGTTTCTTCTATCATATCATGCATATAGATACATAGGCGAATGGTGCACAGTAGAAAAACCTATGGGAGTGGGAATGCGTGGAAGTGGTAAGAATCTTTAAAAGATAATCTTTGACCAAGTCATGCCAACTAAACACACTTTACAATCCATTTTTTTCTTTTTCTTTTTTTTTTTTTTACACGGGGCGGCACACTTTATCTACAAACATAATACAAAAACCAAT